ATACAAGACAAAAGAGAAAGTATGTAGAAATTAAGTTCAATTCTGAGTCTCACTTGAATAAAAATTTTTCTAGCACAACTTTTGAAGTAGTTATCCAGCATAACCAAAGTCCTTTATACAGAACTCTCTCAAAAAATGCCAGTTATAAAGATTTAGCATTTTACTTCTGTAACAAATTGAAACTTTTATCATTGAAGCTTACATTTTGCAGGGAGAGAAGGGAAGGCAATGGAAAATAGAAACAATGCAACTTAGGAAAAAAATTGATCAAGAAGAAGCACTTTGTTGGGTTTAGTAATTACTTTTCACCAATTCCTTGCTATTGAAAAATGACCTCCCTCCCCTAGTCGAAAAGAGACAAAAAGATTATTTTTCTTAGCATTATAAAAACACTGATCCAAAAGGAATTAAAGTGTACTTTGATGAAAAAAAATGTTATGTAACAAAGATTTATTTGTTGCATGGTAAATATGTAAAAATTATAATACTGTTATTTTAAAAGTGAATGTCAATACCCATTGGAAGTAAAAAGATTTTTTTAAAAAAGCATTAAATATGACATGTGAATATGTTTTGACACTACTTATTTTCAGGTTAACATGTACAAAAGTTAGCCCTAGAAATATTTGTTCCTTTTAATTTTAATACTTCCTCTTTTTGTATCCAATAACAACCAAAACTTCCCTTTGATAAATTTTATCATCTCAACTCAAAGTTAGACAATTATCTCTAACCCTTATGTCTCCATAAAAGCTTCTCTTAAAAAACTTTCCCCCAAACCCACTTTATTTTTTTTTACAAAACAATAAAACATTCAAGCTGTTCTCAAATACATCTTTCTACCTTTTGCTAACTCTTAACCTCCTTTTGTTATTTTCACACCTGTAGAAATTATACATGCTTATCAAATTTCATACTTTGTTTTCTTCCTCTAACTACAGTGCATTACTTTAATCTCCTCTTATAGAGATCATCTTGTCCAAAGCGAACCCTGACTTTTATTTCCTTCAAGTTCAAAAAAACATTAGCTACAAAAAAATGCATACAAGCATATGTTAATTTCCTCAGGGTTTGTTTCTAATTAAACTATATATATGATTTCAATTGAAAAATTTATTTCTTAATAGTATGCTCTTTTTTTATATTACAGGTCATTATGTTTTGTTATGCTACTTAAAAAGGTTGTATATTCCCTTCCTTCTAATTCATTTACAGGAAGCTATCAATTCATTTGTTTTCCTCTTCACACTTAAGTACCCAGTTTTCTACTCTACTCTCCTTACAGTTACAAAAATAATTCAGATTTTTGGTTACAGCTTCCCATAGTTGCGAAAGTGTATTAATTTACTTGAGAAGACAAGTTATGATGCTTTAAAAAAATGTAGACCATCATACTTGAATTTAGACACTAGATTATTTAAATTCATGAAAATATTGAGTTCATTCAATATAGCTAATAACCTACCATAGTAATAAGTACAAAAATTTGAAAAATATTGAACAAAACATAATTAGAGTGCTTGTCTAGTATGTGCAAGCCTCAGTATTCCATCTACAGTACTGGAGAGAAAAAAGAAAAACAAAAAACATAAGTACTAGAATTAGTTTTATCTGGTATTAACCAGGCATAAAATCACTATGAAGTAACTTTTTCATGAAAGTCCTAAAATATGTCCTACATTTCTACATTGTAAAAAAAAAGAGAGAGATTTATTATTTTTAATATTCCTTCCATTTCTAAGTATCTGGGTTCTTTTAAATGTGCAATGTAATCTTAGTCCTGAATTCTATATCTACTATAGTGTAAACACCTACACCTACACCTACAAACACACACGTATACACCCACCATGATAATATTTGTGTTAAGGAGAAACTTCAAGAAAAAAAATTAAAGTGGGTGCAGTGGTGCAAGCCTGTAATCCCAGCACCTGGGGAGGCTGAGACAGGAGGATCGAAAATTCAAAGCCAGCCTCACCAACAGCAAGGCACTAGGTTACTTAGTGAGACCCTGTGTCTAAATAAAATACAAAATGGGGCTGGAGTTGTGACTTAGTGGTTGAGTACCTCTGAGTTCAATCCCTCTCTGATACCAGAAAAAAAAAAAATAGCAGATAGGCATATTCATATGTTGATAGTTGAAAAAAGGAACTGACATCCCTTCCCAAACATCATCTATCAAAAATTAGAATGAAGAAGCCCTTCAGATTCAATGTTTGCACTTCTAGGAACTAAGCCTAATGAATAACTTGCATATTTAGATTAATGTGTTGAGAAAATGTATTACAACACTGGATATATAATATACAGTTCATACTTAACAAGTCCAGACCCAAATTCTTTTTCTTTTGTTTTTGTGCAATGCTAGGGATTGAACTGAGGGCCTTGGGCATGCAAGGCAAGCACTCTACCAACTGAGCTATATCTCCAGTTGGCCAAAGCCAAATTCTTTATTTCCATTCCCCACTCTTTTGCCCCTAGTCTTCAACATTCTGCTATTTTGTCCCAATTGGTCACGCCAAATATAAAGGAGTCAGTATTCATTCTTCCTTCATAATAAATCCTTTTCCTCTAGAGATCCAGTGAGCTCTACCACTACCACCCAGAACTGCAGAAAAAAACTCTCAAAGTGATTTCAAAGAAGATCAACGTGCTTCCCTCTGTAAACCTCATCCATGACTTTGCACTGCATTTCAAGAAAAATTTAAACGCCACCCTGGTATCTATCTGCCTCTTCAAGTTCATCTCATGCTACATTCTTCCCTGCTGCTCTCAGGTCAGCCCAAACTGACAATTCCTAAAATCAGCCAGTCTTAGAGCTTTTCTCCAATATGGAAAGCATTTTTCAAGCTGGCCCTCCTTATCCAGTTATTATTACAATAGCCTTCTCTGCCCACCTATTTACCTGTTTGTATACTATGACGTCATACCATGTGTCCACTCTGTCTCTAACTTCAGTCTCCAGATACCTTGCTTATTCATTGTATATTTCTTCCCACTAGTACATAAAATCCAGATGGCATGGAACTGTTTTACTGCTGTTATCTCAGCACCATGTACAGCCCATATCAACAAATATGTGTTGTATGATGGCAGAACAACATAAGGCCAACCTGAATTTTTCTATTTCAATGATCTATTAAATCTGATCTACTATGATAATGAAAAATGCCCACATGGTCAACAAGAATTTTGTGAAAACCTGATAAGTACACAATAATGTACTAAAAATTTATGATCTGGCTTCAGTAATCTTCTTAGCTTCATCTCCCAACCCCACCCCACCCCCATCCCCACCCCCACCACACACCTTAACTTGTTGCCATTTCCCTTCAGGAAACATAAATTGTCCAGATTGGCTGTAATTCCAGGTGTGTGTGTGTCAAGAGACAATACTGAGACTGCTGAAGACAGATCAAGCTTTGTACGGGAAGAAGTTTTTATGTTTAGTTTAGAAAATCAGAGACTTTGTACAAAGTTTATTTTAAGAACTGAAAGGGAGCTGATTAACTAGAAGAGGTAACCACCTAAATGCCATAACCACAAAAACACTTTGCTATCATGCAATCAGTATCATGTGTTCCTGTGTGGCAGATCAAGCTTTAGATATCTCCTTACCATTGAGATTTTGAAAGGTGTTATACTACAGCCTGTGCTACAATGCCTACAATGCGGGCCCAGTTCCTGAAACTGCCCCCAGTGAAATTATGTCAAATTTGCCTAATGAAATTTGGTCCCATCTTAGATAATGACTAGAATCTACATAAGCACTTTTTCCACTGATAACACATTCTCCTTATCTTTCTTATTCATTTTAAAACACTCCCTATTCATCTGCTTGTATATTCTAGTTTTACTTTAAAATGAAGTCTGCTTACCTATTAAGTGCACTTTTTAAATCATAGCATATTTTATACTTTGTTATTGAGAACATGTTGCTATTTGTTATCATAATTGGGAAATGTGTCTTGGGAGCAATTAACATTTTTAATTTTTTAATTCTAACAAGCAAATATAAATATTTTAACTTTCAAAAATAACACCTATAGTTCAGCAGTTTCCAATTCTCCTTGTATTCTAAGACTTGTCCTCACTTACCTAATCCCTGAAGGTCTCTAAATTTGTAACCATCTGATTTTATTCCTCATAATTTTAATGTTTGCTATTAAATGTCCCAGAAAGGACATAAAAATGCTAACTTGAACTTTCATTAGCACATTCCTCCAGTTCTACCATAATTGTTTTTCCATTAAAAAAAAATGATTCTTTGGGAAAAAAAATGAAATAATTAAATTTCCTTTCTGTGCCTGTGAAGAATGTATATCACCTAACTGAAGCAACCCTGTAGGTTGCCAGGAAGTTATGTCTCTAAACTGGAGCACAATGGGCTGGGGATGTGGCTCAAGCGGTAGCGCGCTCGCCTAGCATGCGTGCAGCCCGGGTTCGATCCTCAGCAGCACCACATACCAACAAAAAGATGTTGTGTCTGCCAAGAACTAAGAAAATAAATAAATGTTAAAATTCAAAAAAAATAAATAAATAAATAAACTGGAGCACAAAGAGCTAGTTTCAGTTCTTAGGAAAAGTCCTGCTCCTGTTAATGTTACCTCTCTTTGTCTCAAATCAGGAATCAACATGTTCCAGGCACAGAGCTGTAAGCACTGCAAATAATAGCAGAGAAGGAAAAACTAGAGATTACAGAACCCCAGTGAGATCACAACACCTGCAGACAAACAGAACACTTGTTTTGAGGAGGATTGCATGTATATAGGTAATGAGAATCAAAGGATTAAAAACTAGGAGAACTACTGAAATGATAAGTAATGTACAGTCTGTCTCTGTAATTTTCTACCTTATACAATTCACATGATGAAGTATGCAGTAAGCTCTGGAAAAAACTTAACCTTTTCCCCTCCGTAGAAGTGAATTACAAGAGTCAATGATCTGGTGTTGTACTACTTTCTAAAGTCAAAACAAACAAAAACACAACAGAAACTTACCTTCATAAATGGACCCCAGTTGATATCGACCACTAAAAAACTGTGGCAAGGAAAATACAAGTGCCCCCAGTCCTATCATAAAGGATGCAAATGCAAGCCATCTGGGCTTGTGTCCTCTTTCACCAAAGAATGATACAAATAATGACAATAAACAGAAGGCAATATCGTAGCTTGATGATATCAGGCCAGTCAGGGAACTCTTCATCTCATAGCGCTTCTCAATAGTGGATATGCTGATATTTACTAGGCCATTTACAACAACACCTAAAAAAGAGAAAAGGAAATTTAAGTGGATTACTCTAAGTTTACTACATAGGATATGATTATTAACACAATCTACTAAAAAGTTTGGCTTTTTTGTTGTTTTTAAAAGTGTCAATTTTAAAGTTCTCAAAGTTTCAAAGATAGGCAACCTGAACATACTTCCTCGAAAATCAGTTTGCCTTTTAAATTGTTTACTTGCGAATTTTCAGGTGCCCAACCAAACTGATGCTTGCCACATACTAAACTGCAGTTAATTGGCCTTAATTCATTTTCCTTTAAGTGATAAATAAAAGTCAGACTGATAGAGTCCCATGAAGTCGGTTTGCCAGTTGTCAAGTGTTCTGTACTTAAAAAGACCTAAGAGTACAGAGTGTACAAGTGACCCTAAAGGCCTTAAAGTAATGCTCAATTGCTTCCTGAGCCCTAACATACTTATCTATCACAACAGCTCACCTTGAGTTTTAAGAAGAGGAAATTAAGCTCTCAAACCTCTTTTTATTTTGTTCTAAAACTTATATGGATATTGAAGATATCATTTAAAAGGTTATAGCAAAAAAAATGAGTTGAGTTTTATTTCAACCACTAGCATTCTAAATCATGCACTGTGGAAAAAGAAAAAAAGAATTTCCTCTGCTTATTATAAATATAATGAAGGACTACAAGATAAACAAAGATTGGAAAACCCAACTTTGACTGATTTAAGTGTCCTGCCCAGGTATAGATGAAATTTACAAGAGTTTAAAYATTAGCATAAATTGAAAATTTTAACTAGTTATGTATTTTAGTTAAGTATCAAGAACTGTTTTCATTATTAATTAATACAATGAGTTTACACATGGCAAAATCTTTAGCATCTCTTTAAATGTTTCTGTATCAAGACTTTAATTAAAAATTATTTCAAGAAAATTGAAATTGCAGCTTTCAAATGTGTTAATATGGTTTTTACTCTTATGCCAGTTTAATAAGACTTTAACAATTTCTGAGATTTCAAGATAAAATATCTGAAGTACTAGGAAAGGACATTTTATAAGAAAATATCTGATAATTTGAAAATCCCCCCAACTAAAAATCAACTTCCCACACCTCTCATACTGATTAAATATCTGTCATTAGAAATCATTAGGGAACAACTTCTCTTTGAAAATAAATTGGAATTTCCTCTGGAAGGACTACACTTTAATCCTATGAATCCCTAAGTGAACTCTATGCTATACAAATTCCAAGAACACTGCTTTTAAAAACACTTCCATGAAATACCACACACATTTCTTGCTATTGTAAATGCATGGAGATAGGAAGCACATTAGGAAGTTAAGTGCTAAGAGAAATCCTGTTTGTCTTTGAGAAATGCAGAGTTAAATAATTTCTTCAAATTTTGTTTTCCCTCCCAATTAAACATCTATTAATATTTGATGGAAATGGTCTTCCCAAGGATTATGGCAATGATGTTTTCCGTCATTGAAACTTAAACTGAAACATGAATTAATTTATTGGATCACATTCATCCCAGATTATGCTTCTTAAATTGGTGATTTCTCGGTATATGAATTTTCAGGCTAAAACAAACATTTTTCTAAGTGCACCAATTATATTTTATAATAATTTAAAACAAGATTATATATTAAGTATAAATGACATATTCTAGAATAATTTAGAAATTTCACAATAAATTTTAAGGAAAAAAACAAGGTAAGTTTTGAGTTTTTGAATTTTACATTCCTTTGACACAAAGACATTTCACAATCACTGACTCTTGACAAGTAAGTTGAGTCAATAATGGAAGGAGACCTGAGGGGAGGACAAGAAACTAAGATTCAATGTGTCCTTCAGTCTACTCCACTTTACACACCCATACACTGCTCCCCAGGAGTCACCTTAGGATAAAGTCCCACTTAGATCATTCCTTGCATTATGAGCTACACCTACTCCTCTCACCTTCACTATGCTTTCTTTCACCTTCCACCATCTCTCTCTCTCTTCTCTTCTAAACTCGCTGAGACTGCATATTCCTGAGGACCTAAATCTGGACTTAATCTGTAACTCCCAAGAAAACCAAAATGAAATTCCTGGAACAAAACAGATCCTGGATAATTCCTGTGCCTGAATGGCTAGGAAAGCTTTACCCTTCCACAAGGCCTGAAGCCTTTGCTAATGTACTCACCGGAATGCAATTGTGTCCACAGCCCCTATCTAAATATACTCACAAAATGTGAATGCTTATATCTTATCTATACTACAGATTTTAAATTTATTTCCTTTTCGAAGGGACCTATTTTCATTTACAAATTTATTAATCCAGATGGAGAAATAATGGAAAATAATCCCTTTAATAAAGAACTCTGAAAAAAATAGGCTTTTTAAAGTAGAATGGATTACCCCCGGGGTTATATCATTCCCAGAGGTCCTTCTAATCTTCCCTGGAGGGATCCAATCAGCCTAACCAAGGAAAAGCACAAAATAGTAAAAGCTTGTATAGCAAGTTTTTAAATGTTGCAATAAAGTAGAAGCTAAAATGTGGAAGGCTGAACCTGGTAGGCTGTCGTCGGCGATGGCTCCAACAAATTCCAAGCCCACCTCGCCTCGCACAGCGCGTCAGCGGCGCTGGGATCCCTGCACCTGCCCGCTTCTCCCTGAAACCTCGCCGCGTCTCGCTAGCTCTCCACCGGACTGACGCCCCCTTGAGAGAACTCTGGACTTTACCTTGAGTGAGGGCCAACAGGCAGTAGTGAATCAGAAACCCTTGTGGCGTGTTGCAGCGCTGGAGACACTGGGGATGCAAGTTGCTCCATCCGCAAGGCCCCTCCTCAAACTCCGACTGTGGTCCGGGGCGCTCTTCGGAAGCCGGGGCAGTTGATGAAGGCAGAGGAGGTTCCCATGACTTGTGGGACTCCGGAGATTCCTGTGGCTGAGAACCCTCCCTCTGGGTGTCGGAGGATAAAGCAGAGACTTCCACCTGGGAGGGCGACGCAGACAAGCGGTGCGGGGTGTCTGGGCTGGAGGGAACGAAAGCCGGGTTCTCAATGCCTTTGGTTCCCTTCATTGTCGTGAACTGTTCTCCCGACTCCAGTGCCTCGGAGCAGCAAAACGCTAGGTTCCTTTCTGGCTCCTCCCCTGGACAGGTGACAGCGCCCCCGTGCGGAAAAGCGTCCCACCTCCCGGCCCTCCCACCTCTGGCAGTCTCGCAGCCACAGTCATCCGGACCCTCCCCCAGAAGCTCACCGCTGCCTGGAGCTTGGAAGGCAGTCACCAGACTGCATGATAAGTGGGTGGCGCTAGGCTGCGCCATACCTGTCACCTCTGGTGTCAGGATAGGGCTTATAGGAAACCGCAGCGTAGGCACGCGATCCCGCCCGCTCCAGGTGAGAAGTGCGAGCCGCCCTACCCTAAGTCCCAGGCCCTTGGGGTTCTTTCTTGGTGCCCAGGGACAGGGAACAAATAGGGTTTCTGGGAGTCTGTGGCCAAAAACTCCCCCTGGGTGCTGATATGAAAGCTGTAAACAGAGTTGCATCAGGAGATCTTTCAAGAAAATATCTTGCGGTTTTCTTCCTTTGCTACTTACCAAAGCAAGAATCCTGGACTCCAAGAATCAAACAGCCACACGTATAATTTTGGATTCCATGAACATCGTGATAAAACTTTTACCTGTCATCTTCCTCAGAAAGCATGCTAGCTTCCCATAACAACCACTTTATTGGCAACATAACCACTTCTTAGTTTTTATTTCCTCCAAAMTAAAAGAGTAGAAATCATGAAACTGAAAACTTATATTTAACCTTCTCTGGACAGTATGTTGCATGTCTAAGATCAACAATGCTGATAATCATGTAAATAATTATCATGTATCAAATAATCCTGTATATAATTTTTACCCATGAAATTATAAGCAGAGACTTTAAAGACCTTAACACTATCTGTGATAGGAGTTGCAATTTGTTCATTCTTTCATCATAAAAAAAAAAAAAAAAATCCTAGGTTGTAGACACTCTTAGGGTATACCAGCAAACAAAAACTGAGAAATAGGGCTGGGGTTGTGGTTCAGCAGTAGGGCACTCACCTAGCACGTCTGAGGCCCTGGGTTTGATCCTCAGCACCACATAAAAATAAATTAATTAAATAAAGTATTAAAAAAAAACCTGAGAAGTATTCAGACCCTTATGTACTTAACATTCCAATAGGAGAGAGCCAGTAAATAATAAATAATACATAGTGGGTGATACATAATATGATAAATGATTTGTAAAATATTTGTATCAATTACTTATATTGTAGTTTCTGAGATGAGGAATTGAGTTATAAAATATACACTTACTTTGAAAAGACATTCTAAGACATTCTGTTCCCTGTTCCCTAACAGTTAAAAAAAAAAAAAAAAAAAAAGTCTAGTCTAGAATATGGGGAAGGAGTAGCAATAAAAACTAACATTTTTAAATGTCTACTATATGCCACATTATTAATCCTTGCATGATCATAACTATTATACCTACATTTTACACATTGAAGAAATCATATACCAGCAAGGATCAGTAACTCTCACAGCAATAAGTATTCTGCACTTGTTAAGGATTTGTTCTCAGTTCTCTCAGCCTGGACATTTTTATTTTCTGTTTTTAAATAACCACAGTCAGAATTATCACATTCTGAGATATCAGAACACATATTTCACCTATATTTGTGAGGTTTGGGAAACTTATGCTGCATTGAATACTTCAATTTTGGAGGTGTCCAAATGAAATATGGTATGTAACCCTCTTAATCTCCCCACTCCATCTTTTTTTTTTCTGTTTTCTTTTTTTTCATTGTACTGGGAATGAACCCAGGGCATTCTACCCTGAGCTATATCCCTAACCTGTTTTTATTTTTATTTTGAGAAAGGATCTGGCCCAGGCTGGCCATGAATTTGTGATAATCTTGCCTCTCCTCCCAAATATCTGGAACTTTGGCACTCACCACTCTGCCTGCTTAGCCTTCCTTTTGACAGAAATGGGCTTAAATTTGGCATCTATAAGTATAAGGAGAGATCACCATTTTAGCTATAGAATATAAATAATTCACTCATAGTTTTATTTGAGGAAATGTGGACCTGAAAATATAGCTTAAGACTATTCTCCAGCTTTTAATTAACAAATCCAAACTATCCAATCAAAATCAGAGTATTATAATCATCATACACTTAAATTCACACTACTAAGAAATCACTTTTACAGTGTTAGAGTGTAGGATTTTGTTGAAAGACTGGCAAAAGTTCTATTGCTTCATACTAAGCACCTCTTGCTCTTACTGAAAGTATTACCAACACCACTTTCCTATTACCTTACATTCTTGATGCTGCAATGATAGAAGTAAAGGGACTCAGGTTTACAACAAAGATTTTCAAACAATTGACAGTTTTCACATCTGATAATTCAGTGGAAAATTGTCACATTTTAAGTTAATATGTTGATTAATTTATGATAAATATGTCTCTAATGAGAATTGTAAATGTACTTGACAAATTGCTATAATTTTGAAGTGGATCTCATTTGCTATATTTTAAGGGAGAGAGAATGGGGGCGAAAACAGTGTCTAAATTTTATGGTAAGCTACAACACTGTACATATAAGCAGATATCTCTGCTATCCTCTGCATTGTGCAATATATCTTCCCTATCAGTAATTGAATTAACTAAGGTAAAGTGGCATAATGAAAGAAGCCATTGAGATTATTCCCCTAACTCCCTTTTCTCTGATTCCATGATTGAGAGCACTTTATGATTACATTTTGGCCTTTCAGGTTGATTGGTCTACTGGATAAAAAATGTACTGATATGCCTATTTTGAGTACTATAATTTCCCCTTCTGTGTACTCTATTAATTCCCTTCCAGTTGCAGACCAAATGTAAAAATTTTTTAGCATTATAATACTAAAAGGCTCATAGAATACTAACCTTGAGGATCTTGACAGTACCTCAATACAAACATGATACTGATATTAATGAAGCCTTAAAAATCCCAGAGTTAAMATTTTACTAATACAGAGGATTTATTTAACTAATTCAAAGCAATAAATCCATCTAAATAATTTAGTATTCTTTATTTTTCCCATTTAAATGTTTCACAGAATATATAATGAAAAATAAGAAAAATTTAAGGCTAAATTATGTATTTTAATGCTGTTTTGAACTACAACTGCACATAAACATATTTATATTGAAATGAAATGCAGCTATACTTTCCTTTTATACTAATCATAAATTATTGAGATATATAGCATAAACATGACAGATCACAATTTTTGAAAGTGCTTGTGTCAACACAACAGTTAATGCAATAATCTCTTAAGAAAGCTAACCTTGTAGATACAAAAAATTCCCTACAATGTAAAAAATAATACACAATGTCAATTTAAACTTTTTATTGATATATTATTGCAATTTACTCAAAACACCATTGAGCTTCCTAAAGTATACTTATGATACAAATATTATATTATTGCAAAAAAATCATAGTGAATTTATACATATCAAGAGGTGTTTTTTTTTTTTTCTTTTTTTTTTTTTTTTTTTTTTCAAGAGGTGTTTTTAACTAATAGAATTCATTGTAAATTAATAATGAGGATATTATACCTAAAATGTATTTCTTTGCTACTCAACATCTGATTCCAATGCCTAATAGAACCTTCAATGTGCTAGGAAGATATGGAAGATATGTAATCACAATAGCATAATCATGACAAAATGTCATTATCATTGATTAGAAAAACAGCCAAACTTCAGCTCTTGATAGTTCTGTAATTTAATTTAGTCATTACTTTTCTCTCAGCAAAAGGAACTAGTACAATGATAAAAGTTGTTAAAATTTAGATTTGTAGAACCACAAAGAACATTAAGATACCATTTGTTCCAGAAGCCTACCTCCAGGAATTTTAAAGTCAAATGTACCCACAAGCTCAATGCACTCAGAACCAAAAAAGAGACCAATCATAAGTAAAGAGAGAAAGGTGACTAAGGGATTTTCATATATTCTTTCATATGAATCTTTTCTTAATTTACTGGGAGTTGGAAATAGTGTGAGGTTGAGGGAGCTAGAAAGGTATTATTTAAAAGCAAAACAAAACACAAATACAAGTAAGAACTCTAGTGAACTGTGTTCAAGGTAGTGGACAAACTTTTTTTTTTAATTTACATTTTGTTCCCTGAATGGTACAGGTTGCTCCATCATAGTCAACTTTGAGAAAAAGGAAATTGAACACAGGAAAGTCGCTGCAACACTAGCCACCTTCATAATCCCCTGCCCTAGGTCTGCCTTGTCTACTCACTTGCCATTTGTCACTGTGGACCTCTGGACTGCTCTAATGCTCAAAACCCTTAACTGTCCAGACTCCACCTGATAGAAAATAAGGACTTTGGGTTACTTCCCCAACATTGCCCTCTTTCAGTAGGAAGCATCTTGGAGATATTGTGGCCCATTTTTCCCTAGAAATGGAATGTAGAAATTGTCAGTGGGGAAATGTAACCATGGTCCCCTTTAGGCTTTGAATACAGCCCTTGCTGCTCTGTCTCTGCAACTTATTTTTAAATGGACATGTTTCTTTCTCTTCCTCTCTTGCTGCTCTACCTAATTTCTCCCACTTCCTGATGTCAGGGGAGAAATGATTACCTTTCTTCCCCATTTTAGGCAGATGTATCTGTCCTTGAAAACCCACCCACCACAGGAATGAAGTAATCCAGACTTTGGGGATGGTACCAGAAGATCTCAGAAACGACTATCTCCCAAATTAACAAGTGAATTACAACTCCAACAGAGAACATGTGGAATGCAGTCTTTGAATCACTTCTTTAAAAGCCTCATGTTCCTGCTGATGGGCAGAATCGTAGCCTCTGGGACCGGAGTCCCCTGTGTTTCTCCTCTGCTAACAAAGCAATACACTTTTTTCTTTTTCTAAAAAGAAAAGAAAACAAAACAAAACAACAACAACAAAATAAAATAAAACCCTTTATATTTCTACTTAATAATTAACAATTAGCTGTGGAAATTCTTAGAGCATACTAAGTACAAGCACGAA